GGTGCCTGCCTTTCAGCCAAGGATAAATTTAAATGCGAGGAAAGCCCAGCTCACAGCAATTCAATTCGGCATGCGGGTCCTGGGTATTGTACTTGCAGGGCCCTGAGGCCCACGTCCAGGAAGAGCGGGTGGGAGAGCTGATTGTACCCTTGGAGGCTTCCCTCACTCCACTTAAGGAATGCACAAGGAAGGGGGAGGAAAAGGAGGCTTCAAAAATTTGTGGGCAAATGGAATTTTTTGAAAAACGGAATTTTCCACAAACTTCTTGAAGCCCCTGGAGTTCTCATCTCTCCCCTTAGCCGCTCGCCCTCCCGTTTCCTCCCCTGCTCTTTCTCTTCCTCTTGTGCTTCGTCTCCCAAACAAACCACCAGCTGCTTTTCCCTCCAAAAAAAGTGCTGTTTTGGGTTTTGGGGGGGTAGGGTGGGGAGGGGATATGTAATTTTAAGGCAGAAAGTAAAAGGCCAAAATATTTTTCTGTTTTTAAATCTTTATTCTTTTTTTAATAATTAAGTACTTATTGTAGAAAAAGAAATCCAACCGTCTCTAGGTGTGTTTGTATAATAGAAAAGACTTCCCACTGTTGGATGACTCAATCGGCAAGGCAAGCACAGGCTGACTTGTGCTTACTTACTAATTTGTGGTGAATAGCTCCACACTTTCTCCCACCACCACCACTTCAGAGATTCTGCTTTGAGGTCTGGCTGGCATGTAACTCTCTCCCAGCCCCCCAGCACCTTCCTACAGAATCAAACACCCTAGGGCGATGTACCATCCCTGGAGGGGAGGAAGCACTGTTGAGCCAGGTAAACAAAACCTTGGGTACAAATTGCTAAGTGTCTCAGAGCTTAAATGCTGAGCATGAGGCTTGTGTAGCTATGGTTTCCAGTGGGAGCCCTAACTCCATATTTGAGTCTCCACATAGATTCCTCCTCCGTTGATTTCTTTCTGACCATTAGCCATGTGAGGAGCTTAGCTTATGCCCTTGATGGAATTTGGGGGTCTAGGGTCTCATAGTTGTGAGGCCTCCCCTGACTGCCTTGGTTAGGGGGCCCTCCTCTCTGGTCTGCAATAGAGTACACATCCCACTTCAGGGGTCTGCCTGCCCCTGGCTGGATTGAGCTGCCCCCAGTCATGGCTCTGTGAGTTTCCTTTGTGCTCGTGTTGAAGTGGCTGTGTTTCTGTGCATCCGACTGCACCATTAGGGCCTCATGCTGATGGTCTCCTTCATCTGGATGATTCGTCTCTGTCTTGTCTTTATCCTGTTATGACGTAAGAACTGTGTCTCTAGAAATCATACTTGAATTTGATCCTCCTGGAGCCCTGGTGGTAGTGAAATGGTTACGAGTTGGGCTGCTAACTGCAAGGTCAGCATTTTGAAAACACTAACCGCTCTGAGGGAGAAAGATGGGCTTTCTGCTCTGGCAAAGAGTTAGTCTTGGAAACTCACAGGGGCAGTTCTACCCTGTCCTATAGGGTCGTTATGAGTCCATATTGACTTAATGGCAGTGTGTTTGGGTTTTTGTTTTGCTTCTCACTCAAGGGAGCCTGGTGGTGTTGTGGGTTATGTGTTGGATCGCTAACCACAAGGTGGGCAGTTCAAATTCACCAGCTGCTCCAAGGGAGCGAGACGAGGTTTTCTGCTCCTGTAAAGAGTTATAGCCTCGTCTGTAAATCAGCGGCAGTGCTACTCTGCCCTAGAGTGGTGATGCAATGGCAGTGAGCTTTGAGTTTGTTGCCCTGAAAACCTAAATAAACACAAGTACACCTGTGCTTACCTTGCCTAGTGGGTAACTCAGCCTTGAGTCTCATTCATTTTCCTCAATCCCCTTGAGGTGACCACTCCTTAACAGCTGGGTGTGCATCCTTCTGCCTTTTCTTAGTCTCGTATGCAATAGAGCAGTGGTTCTCAACCTTCCTAGTGCCACGACCCGTTAACACAGTTCCTCATGTTGTGGTGACCCCCCCAACCATAAAATTATTTTTGTTGCTACTTCATAATTATAATTTTTCTACTGTTATGAGTCATCATGTAAATGTCTGATATCCAGGATGTATTTTCATTGTTACAAATTGAACATAATGAAAGCATAGTGATTAATCACAAAACAATATGTAATTATATATTGTGAAATATTTATTTCTAATGACAAATAAATGAAATTTTGTCTTGAAGCATGGTGTAGCATGGGGAGCAGTCTTCATGCTGGGTCCTCGTATGTGGGCGTATCTGCATGTGGGTAGACCTGCCTGGAAACAGATAGGAGCAGTGTCTCGGTTCTTAAGACCATCGGAAATATGTTTTCCAATGGTCTAAGGCGACCCCTGTGAAAGGGTTGTTTGAGCCCCAAAGGGGTTGAGAACCACTGAAATAGTGTTTGCCTATTGCATTCTAGGCACTGTGCTAGGTGCTGGGCCCAGTACGGGACAAATATAAAATCTACATGTATTGACAAAAAATGAGAGAAGGTTCTTTTAACTACCTATCTGAAAACCCCTTCTCTTATCATGTTAGTACGTGGAAAGTGGAGTCCCGAAGTGGCACACACGGTAAGTGCCAGACAACTAGTCGAAAGGCTGCAGTGGGAACCCACCCAAATGTGCTCAGAAGAAAGGGCTGGCGATGTGCTTCTGAAAGAACGGCCTGGGCAATCCAGAGGAGCAGTTAGCAGCCCAGAGTCAGCTGGACTCTGTAGTAACTAACAGTGGTGTGTCAAAGCAGAACTCACTGCCATCAAGCCCATGCGGGCTCACAGCAACCCCCTGTGGGTTTCGGAGACTAACTGTTTACTAGAGTAGAAAGCCCACTCTTTCTCCCGCGGAACGGTTGCAAACAATGACGTGGCCGTGGGTTTTGTGCTTTTTCTTTTTTAATCATTTTATTGGGAGCCCATACAACTCTTATCACAATCCATACATACATCCACTGTGTCAAGCACATTTGTACATTTGTTGCCCTCATCATTCTCAAAACATTTGCTTTCTACTTGAGCC